CCTCTGAGAGGCAATACTTCCCCACTCACAAACAGAGTCTGAGTGTGGAAAAGAAACTTTTAATGAAAGGAGGGCAGTCACCCAACATTAATTAGGGAAAATGTCACAGTCATAAAACTGTGATCAGGACACCCACCCTAGAGTGTATGTGGGGCAGTGCCTTCTGCCTCATGTTCTTGAATTCTATAACCAACGGTTCCATTACTGTGCCCCCTCACCATACACCACCCATGGTAGTTGCCCTTGGACAGTGAGGACACAACTCTGAGTTCACCTCCCACCAGGGGAAGAAGGTACCTTGCTTGCTGTGCCATTTGAGCATATGCTCTGGCTGGCCACCCCGACAGTTTATCACTGCCTGGCCAGCCACTGTTTCTCAGCTGACTGCTTTCCACTCTCCTGATGGCCACCTGTCACTCACCTCCTGCTGCTATCTGCCTCTCTGCTGTGACTTCTGTAGATCAGTCTCAGTGATTTTTAGCTCTCAGCAGACTGGGCAGAAACACTGCCCCACCACAAGTGATTTTAGCTCTTATTGAGTACTTAGGATAACAAAAGGCTCCTAATGAAGCCTGTTTATCTCTATTTTTGAATGGGGGGGAGAAACAGGCTCAACCAGAGTGGGGCCCCTTAGGGAGAGTCTACATCTCCTGGCTGGGACACCTGTCCCCACCCCTCTTACTTTCACAGGAGTCTGACATTAGAGCCCCTGGTTTAAAGAGGTCCTTTCAGCTGAGGGCGAGCCCCTCATTTGAGACAGGTGAAGCACAGGTCTGCTCCCCTTTTTTTGTACAATAAAGACAACAATGTTTCACTACCCCCTACATCAGGGGTCTCAAACACATGGCTCAGGGGGGCTATTTCCTGCAGCCCGCCCCCGGCCTACCTCCAGGCCAGGGGTGGGCAAACTACAGCACGCGGGATTGCCCCCCAGTGGCACAGCGAGCCCCACGCCGCTCCCTGAAGCAGCCGGCACAACGGCCTGGGGTTGGGGATTGGGGGGCAGAAGACTCCATGCAGTGCCATGGCTTCCAGGCACCGCCTCCCGCATCTCCCATTGGCTGGGAACAGGGAACCGCAGCCAATGGGAGCTTCAGGGGAGGTACCTAGAGGAGCAGCAAGGCAGCGCACGGAGCCCTGTGCCCTTGCTCCCCTGGGCTGCAGGGACATGATTCCGGTTGCTTCGCAGTGCAGGGGCCGGGGGTCAGGGCAGGCACGCAGCCTGCCCTGGCCCCGGTGTGTGCCACTGCCACCCTGGATCCTGCATCCCTCCTGCACCCCAACTCCCTGCCCTGAGCCCCCTGCTGCACCCCAGCCCCCTGCCACACGCTGCACTCTGACCCCCCTGTAGCACCCCGAACCCCTCCTGCACCCCCTGAGGGGCAGAGTTGGGGTGGGGACATCGGTGAAGGGGTTGGAATGGGGGCAGGGAAGAGGTGGGGCCGGGGGCAGCGAAGGGCGGGGTGTCAGTAATGCAGCCCTTGGGCCAATGCACTCGTCCTCATGTGGCCTCGTGGTCATTTGAGTTTGAGACCCCCTGCCCTACAATCAGTACTAAAGTGATTTGTAACCCAACACCAGTCAAAGTTGATCAATTTGAGCAACACAGCTCTCTCTATCTGCTGGATATTGTGGTAGCATAGGTGGGTTCATATAAATACAGTTTGCTCCTGAAATCTCTCCTCCACCTGGCTAGGTGACAGGGGAGAACTCCTTCAGACCCTGCTTACATTTTAAAACTTCCTAGCTCAATGCTGTTACTTGGACTGATATGTTTATGAAGCTTTTAATTCCAAATGTATGGTTGACAACCACTAACAAGTTTATTCATACACGTTTTACTTATTTATCACCAGATTAGAGAATTGGTTCATGAGTAGTAGATCATGAAACAGAAAAGCAAGATATGGGGGGGGGGAGAAGGGGGGTAGCTAATTTATTCATGTCAACTTCTATTAGTGCCTATATAATGCTTCAGTCACTTTGCTCACTGCAAACCACACAGTAATAAAATAGTACATATTAAAAGACTATATAATGTAATCAAATGCCTACCTGCTAAATTAATAAAATAATAATGCATCCCACAGCTAATCACGCCTTCCAGCCTCCTACCCACAATGGCTTCAATGCAAGTTGCAAGTGCTGCTCAAGAGCAGGCGTGAGCATAATGTTTCCTATATTGAACAAGTGTCTGCCCTCATCTGAACCACTATGTCTAATGATGAAACGCCCCTGTGTTAGGGAAGATGTAGTGAATGCTGAAAAGGTCCAGAGGAAGGCAATGACGAGGGCTTAGGTATACAGGAAAGTTAATGTGGTGTTATGAGCTGGCTTAAACTTGATGGATTGAGTTAAAAACTTGTGGCAATTGATGGATGTCTGGTGTGAATGTTTGCTTCGCATCATTGTAAAGCTGAGTTAATCAGAAGCCCCCACCTTAGACAAAAGGAGTATGTGAACCCATGCACATGGTTTGGATTGTGTGGGTAGAGGGTTGGGTTTTTTGTTTTTTTTTTGTCTGAGTATTGTTTTAGAAAAGTGTGTGGAGGTGAGAGAGAGAGAAGACAGAACACAGATACAAAGAGCAACCGAGACAGCCTAATGAAAGCCACACAGGAGGCTGTATGCTGGGTGAAGCCACAAGGGAGAATTTTGAGTCTGATCCTAGGCAAAGAAGCTACCCCTTGTTCTTGATTCCTCCTGTGTTCAGAGAAGCAGGATTTTGTACATTCTTTGTAAATTAACAAGAGTGCATCAAAGAAAATACCAGTCTCCATCAATTTCTCCTCTCAGCTGGAACATCCCCAGGGCCCTGAACTTTGACTAGTCACTTGGGTCAAAAAGGGGTAACAGTATGATGAGATATAACAACAACTAGGATATTTAGCAGGGAAAGGACAAGAATCAGAGGAGACTAAACTGAAGTATTCAGGATTCTGAAGACTAAAAAGTGACTAGGCCCTCCCTATGTTATTTTGTCTTCCTAATTCAAGAAGTGTGGTCTTTTGATTAAATAAATGGCCACTAAAGCTAGAAAATCTAAACAGAAATACTTCATCCAACAACATGCAATCTGCGAACTTCACTGCCATAAGAGGTCATAGAGTTAACTACTTTAGCTGGATTTCTAAATAGTTGGGCTAACTTTATGTTCATGACTAACATTTTATGCTGCAGTTCTATGTATGCTAAACTAAGGGAATCCTATCTCGTGATTCAAGGTGTAAGCTGATTGCTACAAGAGTGAGAGGTTTTTTGCTGTGTGAAACAGTGGACAATTGACAGGATACAATTTTTTTCCCCCTTCCTCTGAAGCAACACAAGCAGGATTCTGCACTTGATGACTGAAAGGTCTGATAAATCCCATGCTTCTAATTATGTGTTAATTTGTTTTAGAGAGTGAGCTGCAGTAATGTCAAACTAATGCAGAAAACACATAACAAACACTTGCAATAGTATAAATGGATTTTTTCCAATCTCCCCCCACTTTTCAAATATAATTAAAATGATGAGGCATATTAAAACAAAACAAAACAAAGCAAAACAAAAATCAACCTCTACAGCCAGGAAGAAACAGTCCCCTTCAGGTATCTGGGAAAAAACTCTTGAGAGACAAATGTAATAAACACAACTTGACAAACACCATCAATACATTTTAGTGACAAAAGAAACTCATAATTAAGTTGACTCAAATGTACGAACACTGAATTATATAGTGCTATTTATAATTACAGTTGTCCAATTAGAATTAGATTACACATGTATTGAAAAGTCAGATTGAGAAACTTATGTGTGTTGAGGGAACATTATTCAGAGAAATTCCTTTTGGACATCTGCAAGGAGTCTGGGAAAAAGTCCCAGGAGAAACCACTCAAACAAAATATTATATATCAGATAAGAGTGCTGTGAATACTTTAAAAAATGAAAATAAAATCAGCCACATTGATGACAGCTAAGTATGACCCTGAACTACTGACTATGACTTCTGCTGGCATGGGGTCACCAGTAGGCATAGAGAGCTCCTTCGTATGCGAGCCTTCTCGACCCAAACACCATTGTCCCCCAGCAGTTTTAGGCAGGGGAAGACATGTGCATTGCCCTAAGGCAATTTCTGGCTGGCAAATTGCCACTCAGGCAATGCTTCCATTAGCCACTTGACATAAATTAGAACAACTCCCAGGCTGCTGTGATCTATGCAGGCATTAGTGTTGGGTGAGAACCAGCTCTGGCTCAGAGAAACATGACAAGTCATCTTTTGGATCCTCTTTGTGCCCTATAGAACCTGGCTACAGCTGAGAGCTGGCTTGTTACCTTTAAAAGCAGTGATATATTTTTCACAGATGACTTGTATTTAGGATCATTTGGAGAAAAATGAAATGGTAATACTTTTCCCTTCAATTTATCGATTTTGCTTCCATTTGGAAGCATCAGAATCACAAAATATAAAGAGCCAGATCCTGAAGCTATACTTATTTACACCAGTTAAGAATCTAGTCTTGATTCTACAGCATGGAAGTGTAAATCTCAACAGTAAATGCTGACTTATGCCGCGAGACGATTTTTTGAGTTCTGATATATTTGCAGTAGAATGTATGTGAAAATAAATCTCAAACATAGTAACATAACACTAGTATGCTTCAGGTGCTAGTACAAATAATGAACTATAATCATACTTTTGTAAAAATTATTTTATTTTTCTTCTGCATAGTAAAGTTTGCAATGTTCAGTTGCAAACTTTTTAAAAAACAACCATAATGTTTTGTTCAGAGTTACGAACATTTCAGAGTTACAAATAACCTCCATTTCCAAAGTGTTTGTATATGAGATTCTACTGTATTATGATGCAGCAAGAAGTGTAGTTTATCAATTCAGGCAAAATCCCTGTTCGCTGGTATAAATCCAAAGTGACTCTGCTTAAGTTAGGGGACCATGGACCACAAATAGAAACATAAAAAGACTATCCACAATGTAGGTAACATAAATCAGCTTTATTTACTAATGTTTACAAAAGATGTGTGGTACATACCACTGCTAAAGTTCATCTGGTGCTAAAATATCTTGTCTGTTGGGAGATATTGTCTTGAAATGTATTATAAAGAAAAGTATGAAGAAAAACTATATATTTTTTCACATCTTTGTCTCTTCCAGTGGTCGGTTCATGAAGTCTTGAATGGCCTGGTGTAGAGTTACCCATTTATTAACTGAGGTTTTCAAAGCAGTAATCCATCTGAAAGAGAGGAAAGACCAACAACAGCCACTGAATGGGTGTCATATGTGCACTTGGAAGATAAAATTCTCTTGAAATTGTTTTTTATAAATCTGTTGTACTGTTTGTCACTAAAAATGCTAATAAGTGGACTGGAGACAGTGGGAAGGGAAGAACTGGCTATAAGAGCAACATATCTGGGCACAAGTTTCCAAATTATTTAATAGCTTCTCATTATAAGTCAAATCCTACAACTTTTAGTCTTAGGGATATCAGTGGGAGTTTTTTCTGCACTAAGACTACAGAACGTAGCTTTTAGAAAATGACTTCATAAGCAATTTTTTTAATTATGATGATCAGTGTTGGAAGTAATTCATCTGTGAGAACTAGAAGTACCTACTTTTCACTTAGTCTGACCTATCATGAAAGGCACTCAGGTGCTTCCATTTAGTATGACTACTCACACATCCTTATGAGAGCTACCATCACAAGGTTCCCTCTTGAACTGCCGCAATTCAGCCTTGCTATAACTCCAGTGATGACAATAACAGAACTCATGACTCACATGTGCCAGCATATTTTGCTGCAGTGCGACTAAAACTAATGTTACGGAGAGATGAAAGCAAGCAGGTGAAAACAAAAGGGAAAGATTTTAGCAAACATTCTTGAACCACAGTGTTCTTACTTGCTCTAAGAGTTTGGCAAAGAGAAGTGAAACAAAGATCTCCATTTACCGTTTGTTTTCATTTACATTCTCTGCACATAAGTAGAAGGTTTGAAACTCTTCAGATGGGGGTTTCATTTCAATTACAGATCTCCTGGAGCCAAGTGTCTGTTCACTTACAGTGTAACCTTGCAGGTAAATCCCACCTAGAGAAAGGGAAACAGCACAAATAGAGAGTGGTATGAACCACTTGTTGGTGTAAACTGCATATGTGCCAAGTTCTTTCCTTCTACTTAGCAACGGAAAGGTTTTTACATTCTCTTTTCAGAGATCGAGGCAGTGATGCTTCCAAAAATAATGTAACAGAGAATTAAAATACATATACATAAAAATATTTAGTGAAAAAACATTAAATGTCCATTTTTACTTTGAAAAGTGACTGGAGAAATGGCAGTTCCTCAGTTACAATGATTTCCAGATCAAATGTATTCAGTTTACAAGTAAAACAAATATTTGTTTTTCTTACCTGCCAGCCCTGCAATTCTACCTGAGATATAAAAGTCAAACTGAGTTCTTTTAATTTTGCACATCATCACCATCAATGAAGGTTCTACAAATCTTTGGATGAAAAACACTATACAACTGCTAAATATTTTTATTATTACAGTCCAAATTTTGCCCTCTGTTACACCTGTGCTCTCCATGGTGTTGCAAAGATGAAACTGATCTGTCCCTTACTGGAACTTAGTAAATAAATTTGTTGCTACATGAAAAGTATTGAAATCCAGCTCAGTCCCTTTTGGCTGCATTGACTCTACAGGGATAATGGAAACAGAAAGCATTAGAAAGGTACTTATGTCACTTATGGCAGCAGATATGAATATGAATACACAGATAGCAGTTCCTTTGAGTAAGAAAATGCCATTTTTACATAGCACTTTTCAAAACGAAACAGGACACTAGGGCTCTGACTTGAAGTGTCAATAGCAGAGATATAAAGGCTTAAAATGATTATGGGTCCAAATGCTCACAATAGCCTTAACCCATGTTCTACATTCATACACAGAAAATCATGCAGCCAGCTTTTTGAACTCACAGTTTTGGGGGCAAACCTCAAAATGTGGGTGTGTAATTTTGGTCATGAGAATTTCGAAGTTGCTTTTGCAAATGTGGCTCATTTTTTCAAGTATTTTAGACACATCATTTTACCTGCTTTCAAATAATTATTACCTGGTGATGGATCCTGCTTCCACTGAAATCAATGAAAGTGTTACCAGCAGCTTTGATGGGAATAAGATCAGCTGTAAATAAGGAGTGGACTCCATATAGTTTCTTTCAGTGTGTTTACTACTGAGCTGTTACTGTGTGCAATTCCAACACAGTGCCAGTAATTTATATAATTCCTTTTCATTTGTAGTTGTTCATGTTGGCTGGCACACAGGTTGGCAGTACCGATGTAAGGATTTCTTAGAAAGAATTTAGCTTGTTATTAAATATGAATGGACAAAAATATATAATTTTGATAGCTTTTGATTTTTATTGTCCCTTTAAATTCAGAAAGAGAGGCAAATTTCAAAATTCCAAGCTCCTGCTGGTGGTAGTAGTTCCCTTTCTTTGAAGTGTTGCCAAAAGCAACCAAGGCAGTTAACTCTGAAGAGTGGGCGTTACATACATAACAGCTACGTACTTTTCATGACCTATTCATCTATGCCTCAGTGTCAGTGACTACACTTCCCTAAGAAATAATAACTGTTCAGTTTATGGTTACATGGTGGATAATGGGCTTGAAAGTAATTCTGGGTGACATTTTTCAAACTTTTTAAAATGAAAAATGCAGACTTGAGTTGACTGAAACATTTTGCAAATTCATGTTGAATTCACCAAATTGTTTCTCCAACTGAAATACCAAACCCAAACATTCCTTCCCAAAACCTTTCCTTTTCATTTTTTAAAACTACCAATTTCAATTTGTTGATTTAAAAGGACTTTTCCTTTCAAATTTTACTTTAATTTTATTTTAAAAGATTTTTAAAAATCCTCAAAAATGAAATGTTTTGTTCAACCCAAAAGGAAATTTTGAGATATTCAATTTGCTGGAAAATTTTAAAAGTTTTTGTTTCAGGTCAACCTGAACTGTTCAGCCACTGAACTGAAACATAAGTTATTTACACAACTCTACTTAAATGTCCCAGGAAGCTGATTCAAAGTTTATCAAAGTTTGTCTTCCAAATTGTGAGTCCTACATTAATAGTCCTACTGACATCATATCAGGTACCAAGGAGATACCAGTTAACACATTGTCAGTGGAAACTGTGTTTGTAAGGTACCATCTGCAATAAGATTGGAACAGTTCAGAAAAGGAGTTAGGATAGCAAGAGAAGATCCACTACAATGTCAAAGAAAGCTGGTTTGGTTTATTTTAAACAATAGTGTATTTAAAGACCAGAAGGGCATGAGGCTGAGAAGTTAGAGCATAGAACTAACCTCCCAAAATACCTGATCACTAATTCTAGTTCTGCTACTGATTCACTGTATGACTTTGGGCAAGTTTCTGTCTCAGTTTTCAACCCCAGAGAGATATTGTAAGCACTAGTTATTTCATTGTTGTACAACCCTTTGAAGCTAAAGAGTGCTATATTATTATTATTTATTATTAAAGAGTGCTAAAGATTATTATTAAATTATAATACAAAACCTCTTTGTTGACTGAATTGTAACAAATAGTAAAATACTGTCCAATACAGCAGCTAAATGTATTTCCCCAATAGGCAGAGGAATGAGAAAAGAGTAGCCAATCAGGCAGGAACATACAAGGTGAGAGAAATCTGAAGTGTATAAGAAAATCACACAGAGTTAACAAGTTTTCTAATGTGTGCAGCTAATGACAGTATATGTGCTATCATGTTGGGGGCTTGGCCTCATCCCCTAGCAAGCTTACCATTAGGACCAGACATCCAATTAGTGTTGCTACATATGCTGAAGGGCAGCCTGGTCCCTCAACATGTGTAACAGGCAGAGCTCCACCCTCCTCCTCTCTGCAGTGTACCTGAAGCCCTAGTGAAGTGGTCTGTCCTTTGATCTGAGAGCAACCCTCTTTAGTGCCTCCTACCTCCAACTCCTCAGGACTGGGAGCAGCAAATTTCCTGGCCCTGAGCCTCATCCCCCTTTCTAGGTGACTGCTGCCCCCCTCCCTGCTGCTCCATCTTCTTGAAACACCCCTTCTCCCCAGTGCTGTGCTGGTCCCAAGTGCCAGTACTAGTTCCTGGGACCCAGCTTCCACCCTTACCTTGGGAGTCTTCTGTAGGGGACCCCTGATGGCCTTGCTGTCTTGCTGTCTTCAAAGGGTGGCTAGTGCCCCCCACTCCCCCAATCTTGGAGGAGCTGCCAAGGGGAGTCACTACCTTCCCAGCTTACAGAGCACCATGAGCAGGGTCTGGCCCCACCAGCAGACTGAGCTCAGCTGGCTCTGGCCCTGTTGGCCCAGTGGAAGTTCTACTCCCCCAGTGGATAGAGGAGTTTCCCTGCCTACATAATGGAGAAATACCATAATCACATGGAAACCTGCTCCAAGCAATAACTCAGGGCAGTTTGCAGCAGAGTGTGCTGTCAGTGGGATGAAGCTAAGGAGCTTGAGCAATTTTTGACCCGCTCTGGCAGGGTGGCTCTTGTCACTAACATTCAGCCAATACTGCTTCACTCTCTAACCTGCCAACCCCAATATGATTTCTTCCAGGAAGGGCACTATTTCACCTTTAGAATAATAAAATACTTGTATTAAAATAGTGTACACTCTTTCATGTTAATATGAATCATTTAAAAACAAGGAGTATCACCTACCTAGGGCATGTGTGGAGCGAATGCCAGCATAAAAATACAAACAGCCATCCTTCAGAATGCAGTAGTGCTGAATCCACACATCCCTGGTTTTGTCCAGTTGGTGGAGGAGACCCAGACACTCTGGGTTTTTGATAGCGAGGGGTGGAAGGCTGGTGTTGTGTAGGGTGACATCTACCCATACGTGATTCTGTAGAGTTAACACAAAATAGTTTCATGAGGAGCATGCTTTTATTCTGCAAAGGCATTAGCCCCAAATCCCCTGTTCTAAAAATAGCTTTTATTGCTACTGTGATTTGGAACATCAAGGGTTCTGGAAACGCAATTAACAAGCATATATTTTATAGGAACTACTCATCGTCTTCTCATTCCTTCTTAAAGGAATTCTTTGTCTTTTTCTGCACATATTCTACACTTCAATTTTTGTTAGTACCAAAACTGTACTAAGAGGACTATCATGCTAGCTGTTTTGGAAGTTGCATGACTTCATTTCTCCTTATTTATTACTTCAGTACTCACTGTTGCCAAAGATAGAACTAACGATCATGTTCTGTCCTCAGATACTTTCACATCAACAGGAGTTGCGCAGAAATATCTGAGAACAGAATATGGCAATGAGACTTGGATGAATGCATGACCATGTGCTAGATGTCTGTGGTTGGCCTTCCAATTCCATTCTAGAAGGTGGAATCTTTTTGGCTAGTCAGGGATTTCTTTAGAGCCATTTCTAGAAGATGTAAATGTCCAGGTGCTAATATTATAGAACAGGCCACAGAAAGTTAGCAGAGCTAGTAAAAATCAGGAGGAAATACACAAAAGGTCATTTAATACAGCTGACCTGCCTACAATGAGTTTAAACAGGAACCATGTAATTTCCCTCCCTCTTTTTTTACTTATAAAGGACATCTGGATCCAAACTTCTACATCTAAACCTAACATGCTTTGTTTATCTGCAATTTTTAATGTTGCGTCAACCTATGTCATTGTCATCTGAAGTCCTTGGGGAGAGTGTCTGTAATACTGGTAGCATCCTGCTCTGTTTCTGTAGGGGTTTTCTTTTTCATTCAATTATTTCTTCCTCATCCTTGACAAGCCAGAGAGAGAGAGAATAGAGTTGATCCTATATAGCTAGCTATATTCTTTACTGTGAAATGGAAACCTCCTGGGGCTTACTGCAGCAGAGTGCAATAGATAAATGTAGTGTTACACCGTGCATTAGTGGAATAGATATCCCCATCTAGGTTCATTAGGAGGACAGTGTCAGTGTATTAGTGTGTTGAGTCACTGCATTTGAGATGAAGTATTACAGGCCTGTAACATGTTTTTGCTGGTGGTTCTAAAAATTCAGTTACAGCACCTTGAGTAGCATTTCAGACAATGCAACAAAAAGCTTCTCTGCTAAACTGAAAAATGAATGCAAAGTTCATTTAAAAAAATGGGAGAAAGCAATTAGCTGAAAACAATACTTACTAATGAAACAAGCTGTGCAATGAAATTAGTATATAACCCTCCTACCCCAAAAGGGCTATTGTCTGCTCAGAGACAAAGCTAAAAAGTCAAATCAATCAAAATAAGCACCCAGTAACTTAGAAAACAGGTCCAATAAATGGCTAATTATGCTGTTAGTGGCTGAATCAAAGTAAGATCTTTCTATTGCAAGAGATAAGATGGACATTGATAGCTTAAAGCCTTTTTTATTATGATGTTTCCTATCAAACTAAAGTAAGATTATTACTTTTTTTGCTTTTAAGTACTTTTTGGCTTGTTTTCTAAGCTATGTTTATTTTTTATTTCTTTGGTTTTGGGTGCATAATTATAATTTTTTGTATTTATTTAATTTACTTTGTTTTCAGGCCCAGTAGATTAATTTGCATTCATGCTCTAAGGTCAGATTTATTTGGCCCCAAATGTAGATTTTGTAATAATAAGCTCCTATAAAAGCTGAAACCAATAGAAATGTTTCTATTATTGATTTTATTCTAATGGAAATAATTTAAAAAGAAACAACTAAACATTTCCCTTGAATGTTTGCAAAGCCATCCCTGCAGCACACTGATTGGAGAAATGACTCTTACGGAGAAATGGACTATAATCTAAAGCCTAACTAACTAATTTAAACTGCGAAAAATAAACAGCACGAATATTGAAAAGTAAATTAGATTTTTATAAATTCTTCCCTTTTTACTGATCTCGGATGTAGTTTTTAATCTAAATAAGAAAATTGTTTTAAAATTTTGATTTATTTTCTTGACAGTGTCCTTTTAAAGACATTTAGATTTTTACCGTAGGCTTGACCCCCAACTTTGAATGATCTCAGCTAAGGCTCAAGACCAGAGAACAAACAGGCTCAAAATCTACCCTTATTTAAAGGGATACTATCAAGATAAATATATTTTTTTTAAAAGCTTGAATGTCTCTGTAGTGGAAGAAGGTAGGAATTGGCAAAGGTGGCTTCAAGAAGTCTTTGCAGCTCCTGGATCTTGGGGGTGTTCAGGAACTGTTTGCTGTAAATTGTGTCAAGAATACATAGCTATATAAACAGATAGAAAAAGGAGTTGAGGTGTATCATATAATTTACCCTTCTTCATCTTTTTACACTTCTGAAAATAACAAACAGACAAAAAAACAACCAACCAAGCGCATGCGCACACACAACACCAACCAAGCAAACTTTGTTGTCAATGCATTTTGTCTGCTCTGACAGTGGATGCTAGAATGGCCTAAAATGAGTCAGATGGCTTATAGTTACATCAGATTTCTTTAATCAGTTTAAACCATTGGTGGCAGCAGACGGAATATTGAAATGACATCAACCACGCGTTCTTTTCCTTGTCGAAGATCCTGACGCAGACACTTAGAGAGGTGGCAACAGTTTCTAATATGGCTCCATACCACGTAATGATTCCCACTACACTGAGGAAATCCTCAGGAAGCTGATGTGCTGAGACCACAGGCAATGCTGTTTCAATTGTTCTCCCCTGTCTATCTATATTGTACCATCTGTTGTCCTTTGCCTCGTACTACATTGTAAATTCTCTGGGGCAGGGATTTTTTTTGTTCTGTGTTTGTACAGCACGTAACACAGTGAGGTCCTGGTCACATGACTGGGGCTCCTAGGTGCCACGGTAATACATATAACAAGAACAATATCTAATTAATTATATACCAGACATATGACCCTTTTGCAATTATTGACAGGTGGTATGATTCAAAGAGAGTAATGAGAGGGCAATTTTCAAAATGAAAACCTGAGGATGACATTGCCAGTCTCACAATACATCTCCTGGCCCAACTTTGGGATAAATCAAAGCAAGCAGCAAGGAAGGTTATATGGCAAACATTTACAACCCCCTTCTCTGTTTCGCAAAAAAAGCCTGCTACATCTAAAGATTCTGCCCTTAATTATGTACCCACCGCTCCCATGGAAGTCAACGAGAGCTTTGTGCATAACTGAGGGCAGACTTTGGTCCTTAGCATGTGTGTGGTGCTGTATATTTTAAGAGTTTTGTGCAAATGGCATAGAATCATAGAACTGGAAGGGACCTCGAGAAGTCATCTAGTCCAGTCCCCTGCACTCAAGGCAGCACTAAGTATTATCTAGACCAGTGCTTCTCAAGCTATCTGATGTGGGGGAGCGGCAATTTTTTTTTCCGATGTGCACGCAGACAGGCAGCCCATGGCTCGCAGCCTGGCACCGGTCCGTGGACCACCACTTTGAGTAGCATTGATCTAGACCATCCCTGACAGGTGTTTGTCTAACCTGCTCTGAAAAATCTCCAGTGATGGAGATTCCATAACTTCTGTAGGCAATTTATTCCAGTGCTTAACCACCCTGACAGTTAGGAAGTTTTTCCTAATATCCAACTGAAATCTCCCTTGCTGCAATCTAAGTCCATTGCTTCTTGTCCTATCCTCAGAGTTTAAGAAAAACAATTTTTCTTCCTTCTCCTTGTAACAACCTTTTACATACTTGAAAACTGTTATCATGTCTCCTCTCAGTCTTCTCTTTTCCAGAATGAACAAACCCAATTTTTTTAATCTTCCTTCATAGGTCATGTTTTCTAGACCCTTAATCATCTTTGTTGCTCTTCTCCGGACTCTCTCCAATTTGTCCACATCCTTCCTGAAATGTGGTGCCCAGAACTGGACACAATACTCCAGTTGAGGCCTAATCAGCGTGAAGTAGAACGGAAGAATTTCTCCTAGTGTCTTGCTTACAACACACCCGCAAATACAGCCCAGAATGATGTTCACTTCTTTTTGCAACAGTGTTACGCTGTTGACTCATATTTAGCTTGTGGTCCACTGTGACCCCCAGATCCCTTTCCGCAGTACTCCTTCCTAGGCAGTCATTTCACATTTTGTATGTGTATAACTGATTGTTCCTTCCTAAATGGAGTACTTTGCATTTGTCCTTATTGAATTTCATCCTATTTACTTCAGACCATTTCTCCAGTTTGTCTAGATCATTTTTAATTTTAATCCTATCCTCCAAAGCACTTGCAACCCCTCCCAGCTTGGTATCATCCGAAAACTTTATAAGTGTACTCTGTATGCCATTATCTAAATCATTGATGAAGTGAACAGAATAAGACCCAGAACTGATCCCTGCGGGACCCCACTCATTATGCCCTTCCAGCATGACTCTGAACCACTGATAACTACTCTCTGGGAATGGTTTTCCAAGGACCATGCTAAGGACCAAAGTCTGCCCTCAGTTTTGCACCCACCTTATAGTAGCTCCATCTAGGTTGCATTTCCCTAGTTTATTTATGAGAAGGTCATGCAGGACAGTATCAAAAGCTTTACCAAAAATCAAGATGAGGCTTGAAGGGGAAAGGAGTCCAGGAGAGCTGGCTGTATTTCAAGGAATCCCTGTTGAGGTTACAGGGACAAACCATCCCGATGAGTCGAAAGAATAGTAAATATGGCAGGCGACCAGCTGGCTTAAGGTGAAATCTTAGCGGATCTTAAACATAAAAAAGAAGCTTACAAGAAGTGGAAGGTTGGACATATGACCAGGGAAGAGTATAAAAATATTGCTAGGGCATGTAGGAATGTTATCAGGAGGGCCAAATCGCACCTGGAGCTGCAGCTAGCCAGAGATGTCAAGAGTAACAAGAAGGGTTTCTTCAGGTATGTTGGCAACAAGAAGAAAGCCAAGGAATGTGTGGGCCCCTTACTGAATGAGGGAGGCAAACAGTGACAGAGGATGTGGAAAAAGCTAATGTACTCAATGCTTTTTTGCCTCTGTTTTCACTAACAAGGTCAGCTCCCAGACTGCTACGCTGGGCATCACAAAATGGGGAAGAGATGCCAGCCCTCTGTGGAGATAGAGGTGGTTAGGGACTTTTAGAAAAGCTGGACGTGCACAAGTCCATGGGGCCGGACGAGTTGCACCCGAGAGTGCTGAAGGAACTGGCGGCTGTGATTGCAGAGCCATTGGCCATTATCTTTGAAAACTCGTGGCGAACCGGGGAAGTCCCGGATGACTGGAAAAAGGCTAATGTAGTGCCAATCTTTAAAAAAGGGAAGAAGGAGGATCCTGGGAACTACAGGCCAGTCAGCCTCACTTCAGTCCCTGGAAAAATCATGGAGCAGGTCCCAAAGAATCAATCCTGAAGCACTTACATGAGAGGAAAGGATCAGGAACAGCCAGCATGGATTCACCAAGGGAAGGTCATGCCTGACTAATCTAATCGCCTTCTATGATGAGATTACTGGTTCTGTAGATGAAGGGAAAGCAGTGGATGTATTGTTTCTTGACTTTAGCAAAGCTTTTGACACGGTCTCCCACAGTATTCTTGTCAGCAAGTTAAGGAAGTATGGGCTGGATGAATGCACTACAAGGTGGGTAGAAAGCTGGCTAGATTGTCGGGCTCAACGGGTAGTGATCAATGGCTCCATGTCTAGTTGGCAGCCGGTATCAAGTGGTGTGCCCCAAGGGTCGGTCCTGGGGCCGGTTTTGTTCAATATCTTCATAAATGATCTGGAGGATGGTGTGGATTGCACTCTCAGCAAATTTGCGGATGATACTAAACTGGGAGGAGTGGTAGATACGCTGGAGGGGAGGGATAGGATACAGAAGGACCTAGACAAATTGGAGGATTGGGCCAAAAGAAATCTGATGAGGTTCAATAAGGATAAGTGCAGGGTCCTGCACTTAGGACGGAAGAACCCAATGCACAGCTACAGACTAGGGACCGAATGTCTAGGCAGCAGTTCTGCGGAAAAGGACCTAGGGGTGACAGTGGACGAGAAGCTGGATATGAGTCAGCAGTGTGCCCTTGTTGCCAAGAAGGCCAATGGCATTTTTGGGATGTATAAGTAGGGGCATAGCGAGCAGATCGAGGGACGTGATCGTTCCTCTCTATTCGACATTGGTGAGGCCTCATCTGGAGTACTGTGTCCAGTTTTGGGCCCCACACTTCAAGAAGGATGTGGATAAATTGGAGAGAGTCCAGCGAAGGGCAACAAAAATGATTAGGGGTCTGGAACATATGAGTTATGAGGAGAGGCTGAGGGAGCTGGGATTGTTTAGCCTGCAGAAGAGAAGAATGAGGGGGGATTTGATAGCTGTTTTCAACTACCTGAAAGGGGGTTCCAAAGAGGATGGCTCTAGACTGTTCTCAATGGTAGGAGATGACAGAACGAGGAGTAATGGTCTCAAGTTACAGTGGGGGAGGTTTAGATTGGATATTAGGAAAAACTTTTTCACTAAGAGGGTAGTGAAACACTGGAATGCGTTACCTAGGGAGGTGGTAGAATCTCCTTCCTTAGAGGTTTTTAAGGTCAGGCTTGACAAAGCCCTGGCTGGGATGATTTAACTGGGAATTGGTCCTGCTTTGAGCAGGGGGTTGGACTAGATGACCTTCTGGGGTCCCTTCCAACCCTTATATTCTATGATTCTATGATTCTATGATTCTATAAGATGTACCACATCTACCGCTTCCCCCCCCAACCACAAGGTTTGTTACCCTGTCAAAGAAATGTATCAGGTTGGTTTGTCCTGACGCAGACACTTAGAGAGGTGTTTTGTTTTTGACAAATCCATGCTAATAGCTCAGAAATGTCCTCAGTCAGCTCCTTGAGTATTCTAGGATGCATTTCATCAGGCCCTGGTGACCTGAAAACATCTAATTTGTCCAAGTAATTTTTAACTTGTTCTTTCCCTCTTTTAGCCTCTTCTGATCCTACCTCATTTTCATTGGCATTCACTACATCCAATTTTATACAACTCTGAGGCAAAGAAGTGTAACAGACACCATTCCACAGATGGGGAACCTGACACACAGAGAGATTGAGTTGCTTGCAGCCCCCATTGTGTCAGAGACAGGAGTATCACTCAGGAGGTCCTGTTTCCTAATCTTGTGCTCAATTTACTAGATTAGTTTGCCACCCAAATAATAAAGCATTACCTGATGGACAGGATGCACAGCTTTATCCATAGCCTCCAGCCACCTACAAAATGCCAAAAGAAAAAAGAAAAAAAAGAATAACTTGGCTTGGTACAATGGAACAAATATCCTTCACTGAGTCTTTTCGTTTGCTGATATGGACATCTTTCAAAGACACGTGCAACATTGAGGACCATCCTAAGGCTTGAAAATATATAACTATATATACAAACACACACATAGGCTTAGAGCGTTATTTACAAGATGACACTTCTAACTAGCAGCAGAAATAATTTGCCAGCAACAGACTAGGCTTATTATAAGTGCAGCAATGTTACAGAAAATGGATTCTTTTTAATACAGTTTATCTGTAGACAAATTAACAATACTTTCTGTTTCTTTTATTACTAGGCTGAGTAAGAGTTGGAGGTAAACTTAAAATACTACAACAAACTGGGTATTTTAAAACAAAGGAGACTGATTTCCTGACCAGGTTGTGCAACTGTTTGGTATGATCACCCCACCACAACTACACTATGCAGACCGCATGTTGTTGTTATTTCTAGATTTAATTACTTGGGAGGTGCTCAGATACTATTATAATAGCAGCTATGTAAGTACAGAGCTATAGATGGATGGATAGATGAGGTTGGGTGTATCAAATAATCCATCCTTCATCTCTTTACATTTCTGGAAATACAAAAGAAAGCAAAAAGCAAGGAAAACTGGTTTCAAACACATCCTAACTGCTCTGACAATGGATGCTAGATTGTCTTAAAATGAGTCAGGCTGTCTGAAAGTGTTGCTTAAAAGAAACATTACCTACATGCAGTTTTTTTTTAAAAACAGTTTAAAACCCTGGGTGGCAGCTGAAAGAAAGCAGTAGATTTCAAAAGCTCCCTAAGATTATGTCTATGTTGCAGCTGGGAGTGTGCTTCCAAGCTCCAGCAGACAGACACATGCTAGCTCTGTTTGAGCTAGTGCACTAAAAACAGCAATGTGGCTGGGAGCAGCATGGACAGTACATTCCCGGGGGAGACTGGGTGGGCTAGCTTGAGCCGCTGTCCTTGCTACCCCCAGCCACACTGCTCCTTGAAGCGGGAAGCACTCTCCCAGTTACTGTGTAGATAATATTCCCTAAGTGAGAGACAAAACCAACGCTATGGGCAGTGAGACCAACAGACTCTTGTAAGTGGGTTACAAGTTTTAAAATGGGGTAAAAAACCAAATGTGACAGGGCAAGCAGAGGGGATGGTAAGGAAGGGACTGTGCTCTTTTTCAGTGCTCTGCTGGCCAAAACATTGAGTGACATTATACTTGAGTGTGAAATTATGTATAAACAAGTAAAAATCCATGAGAGGATTTACAATTCCATTTAAGTAGTGGGATGAGGATATGGCGGTAAGAATGTGTGGGGTGGGGTGAGGGTGATTCTCTCTTAAGGTCACAAAAATCAGGCATGTTTTCACCCAGGGAAATCCTGAGTGGCATGAGGACATTATTTGTTCTGAAAACCTGTAGAAAGCTGAAAAATAATTTTTGGGACCTTTCAAAATCAAACCCTCACTCCTATAGATGAGTGACAGGTGTCTTTTAGAGAAATTTTTGCACAAAACACCCCCACAAGCTCTAGAAAAAACAGTAATATAAATAATTGTTTACCTTTTCATCTCTTGGTTTGAAGTTGCACAATAGTAGAAAATCTTGTTTCCAGTTTGAGGCATGCATTTAAACACAAATGGTTTACCCAGGCTGCTGTCAACACAAATTTCCGCACCTTCTAACTTTGTTACATCTAGAGGTTTGCACTTTCCTTCATCCTGTAATTGATGAGATAAAGGTGAAGGAAGCTTTGCCATGTCTTCAGAGCACAATCATGGGGAATTTAACTGTTTCCTGAAATATGAAAACTATCACTTTCCCAAGGCCTGGGATAAACTAACGAAGACATTTCCAAAGGCACAAATAGGAGTTTGGTGCCAAACTGACATTTGTGCCTCTGAAAATACTCCCCTAATTTTCATTTTTTGTGGCATCTGGAGGCTCCAGAAAACCTCCCCTCCCTGTCGATTCACTCAAGACAAAATTTTCAAACATGGCCTCTAAATTTGCCCCTGCAATTTTGCTCTCGCAACCATTTTTGCTGCAGCAAAATGTGTTCACGCATCTTCCAACTTTTGGGGGCACAACAGCAATTTTCAAAAGCATCTTCATGGGTGATTTAGGAGCACAAGCCTCTTTGAAAGCCAGTGTGGCTTGTCCCTTACCTTATTTCTTTGAAACTCTAACTGTGCAGATCTGAGGTACCAAATTCTTGCACTCCCAAAATCGTGTGCATAAATTAAAAGGCTAGATTGCAGTGCTTTTGAAAATATGGCCGTTAATGTCAATCTCTAAGTCAGTAGTTTTCCCCATTAGCATCAGACAACTTTCAAGAGAGCCCATTTCAAAGTCTTTTGGAAAGTGTTTTAAACTGCTTTGCTTTTTAACTATTACTGGAGTGCTGACAATTGCATCAGATTTGCCAGTGGCAAAATGGAAGCTGACAATTACTTTTGGGAAACAGGGGCAGCATTAGTGCTATTAGCATAATGCTCAAATAATGGGATTTTATAAACTAAAAATGCATGAATTATTATGAAATTGCATGACCTTTATCAATAAGGGACAATTTTTCAAAAACCACAGGAAGTGCTTATGTTGCATCTGAAAAATATACACTCAAACAAATTCTGGCATGCACAAAGTATCCAGCTGTGTGTGTAAAATGAATATTTGTGCATGTAATAACCTCTGGGCATATGTGATTACTCATTTGCACCTGTGCATGCCTTTTTCTGCAGAAGTAAAATAACTACCTAATTTTGAAAAGTAGAATCTAAAAGCACACCCGTAAGCACATTTCCTAAATCCTTGTGCTTTTTTCCCTCTCTTTCATAGCATCCAAAGTCAAAGCCAGTACAATATCTGAAAGGCATTCCCGACAGTCAGTGCTGTGTGACCTACTTTATAAATAATACTTTCAATCACAAAAAACACAATGAAATATCAGCATAACTGAACGATATGTTCAGGCTCCAAACCTTGCCCCTGAATAAGCAGTCTTTGAACAAGGAGTTCTGCAGGATTCAAGGTGATGGAATTCTAACTTCAGCTCATGGTTTGTGTCCCCTGCTCCAGCCCACAGGCTAATGGCCTGGACAACTGCTGTGGTAGTGAGGGATAGGCCATAGAACCCATACAATGGCAGATTCATACCTTCCCTCCTCCAGCTCCTTTTCTGTGCTCTCATAGTGAGCCCATGCAGAACTCCTTCTGCTTTCAGGTGTATGTTCCCTTTTATGGACCCCTAGATGGCTGACTCCCAAGCAATCATTTTCACTCCCTTTCAACCTTATGTGCTCATAAAGTGGGTGGATCAGATCTGGGGTTTACATTTCAAAGTAAGATCAAATGTCCTTTATTTGTTACCTCCTAGTTCTGTTTTTGATTAGCTTGAGTTTCGAGGGAACTGTTTCTCCAAAAAAAGGAAAGCATTTAGCAAAGCGTATCAGTCAGTAAAAGCAAAAGCTTATTTGAGTCTTAGAAAGAGACCAGTGAAAAAGATGGACGTGTGTATCTAACACTTCATTGAATTAATTGGTCAGTAATATAGCGTGCACAGCTACATGTTCTCGAACCAGCCCTATTTTATTTGGTGTAAACACATCCAGTGAGTAAATGACATGCAGAGCATTTTCAAAGTGATTTGCTATGATCAAAGGATTTTGTTTGAATAGAGTCAAATTGACTATTCTAGTTTAAGCTGCTTTGTGTAAGAAGAGGAAAGAACTGGAGAGCTATATGAGCACATTTCATTCCATCTGCAGCAAGTGAACTCAAAATCAAGAAAAGGGATAAAAAATAAAAGATTAAAAATAAGCTATTCAAGAGAAGGCAAATCCTGAGGAGATGGTGCAAAAATAACTTTACCGAGAAAGAAATTGAGTCCTAGAAAAGATATTATGAAAGGGAATCTGAAATGCAGCCAAAAAATTAAACAGCATTAGAAAAAGTGAAAGTGAGGGATTGGGCGGCTCAGGAGACTAGCAATGGGAAATGTAGGCAGCCATCTCCAGATCACTGGATCAGCTTTGGTTTAGTGGCAATTGGAAAGTACCTCTTTGCCTGTTATCTCCTCCTATGTGTCCTCCCATTTTCTGAAACTCAACATGTCAGAAACTGAACTCTTCTTTCCTCCTAAACCATCACCCTTCCCCTCTTTCCCATTGTAGCTGAAAACTCCCTGTCACTCAAGTTCTCCACCTTGGGGTCAGCTTTGACTTCTCCCTATTTTTCTAACTTTCAGAGTCTCTTGCTGACTCCTGTTGCTGCTCCCTGTATAACATCTCTAAAAGCAGCCCCTTCTTCTTTGCCTTTGCTGCCTAAAATTCGGATTTGAATCTCAATAATTTCTTGGCTGTAGCCTTCTCCTTTCTAGCGTCCTTTTATCTCTCCTCTACAGGGTGGGGCACACTTACTGGGAGAGCATGAGACTTACTTTTCCTGTCAATAAATAAAAGACTTTAGTCTCCAGAGCTGTACACATGGCACCTTTCACAAATATTAATTTAATGTAAAAATACTTAATTTTTGAAAACAATAGACATCTAAAAAGAGGAATAAATCTTAGTGAGAGGAAAAATAGCTGAGACAGGCCAAGAAAAAAGAAAAGAGTGTGACTAGGTCTCTGGGTAATAGCATGCAACCTGCTGGTCTGCCAAATGCAACTTATGCATCACATCAGTGAACAGTATTTTTTTATTTATCAATGAGAGGAATTCAGAGGAAATGGAGGAGACTCAGGAGTCAGTAGCATTTTAAATGTAAATTGAGAAATATGTCCTGTAGCAGTGGGAGGCATGAAAGGTGCACAGAAGAAATCAGATTGTATGCTGTCTGTAAATAATGTGGCAGCTCCCTGACTGTGATGATAAAGCTCTGAGCAAGAATGAAGAACAAACACAAGTGGTATCTCTACAGGCAATGGCTCAGTCCTAAATCTATTTATAGCTAAGCCTTTTATATGAAGAGCTTAGGCTTAGCAATGAATACCCGGGCCTGTATAAGAGAACAAAGGATTGGATCTTTGTCAGACTGAAAGGCTGTGAAAGGTCCACACACAGTAGGCAGAAGATTTCTTTCTTGTTACAGTAATTGGAATCTGAATATACCAAAAGAAATTAGGATAATTTAAAAGGACTCTCTCTCTCATTCTGATGCTGTATTGAGTGTGTGTGCAATCAACAGAGAGCATGTACCATATTGTCTGATTTTCACACAGTTGTATTAAGCTGTCATCTCTGTAGTGCACAGTCCCAAAATGTAGAGGTGAAGTGGAGGCTGATTTGGCATTTTGGAAAGTAGAGGGCTACCTACGTTAAAGCTACCTGAAAATTGCTCTGTCCAATTAGGAAGTGTTTTCACTTTATTATTCCTAATTTTCCCCTGTTCTGTACAGCATGGGAGTGAAGTGATGTGTCAAACTCAGATATGAACAAAGCAGAAGAAAGTAGACCTGCATCCATCTGGTCAGAGGCATGTGTCTGTCTGTGTGTAAATGTTGCTAATATTAAGCATTGTTTGGTCCAAAAAGAAACAGAAATTTGATGCTTTCATGTTATTCTGAACAAGAAAGATGTTGGGCAAATCTACTAACACAGGCATCTCCTAATAAAGGCAGTTGCACGCTGGCTAGCAACAACCATCCAAGAAACAAAGCAAAACCATTCCACTGAAGAAACCACCATGAATGAGGGAGAGACCTAGATTAGGGTCCTCCTGGTTGGAACTGGTGCTCCATAACTATCTATATGGCATCTAGCTACCACAGAGTTCAATGCATTAAATATATCTTATGTAGAGAAGAGAAGATCGATCGAACTATTCAGATGGATTGGCATAGGCTTTGTAATAGAGACAGACGTGATACAACATCTCTCATTCAGGCGAGATGATGTAATACTTGTTTATTAGACTGGGCTCTAATCATCTTTATTGGCTGGGAGGAGATTCTGTTGTTGTGAAATGCACAATCCACTCTTTCCTCACTCCCCTCAGTACTCAAGCTGTCACGCAGTCACCCTGTGCCTCAGGGCTTCCTACAGGCACTGAACCTGGGAGCCTACAAAATGCAATTTTTTTTAAACTGTGCTATATATAACTACGGTGACTGATACAAAGTGTATTGTCTTCTCCTTCCCTGAGATACTGGGAGTACAGAGAGACTCCTTAGTGAAGGCAGCAGTGTACCTACTGCAGGTTTCTCTGTGGCATGTTTCAGAGTATTATAACTGTGAAAGAAATATATGGAAGGCCAGAATTGTGAGACTTGGGCTGCATGTGCTGGAGGATCTAAATGGAAGAGTGGTATCAGTTTTTATTCCTCTGTTTCCATCTTCATTCATGTCCAGGCCCTCCCTAGATCACAGAATTATAGAAATGTAGGGCTTAAGAAGTCATCTAGTCCAACCCTCCATGCCGAGGCAGGATTAAATATACTTAGATCATCCCTAACACCATGGGTGCTGCAGCATCCCCTGGCTTGAAGTGGTTTCCATCAGCTACAGGGTTTACAATTTGGTTCAGTGGCTCTCAACACCTCCAATATAAAAATTTTTCCAGCCCCCCGATCTAACAGGTGTCTGTCCAACCTGTTCTTAAAAATCTCCAGCGACAGTGATTCCACTACCTCTACAGGTAACCTGTTCCACAGCTGAACTATCCTTATAGTTACATTTTTTCCAAATATCAAATCTAAATCTCCCTTGCTGCAAACTAA